AAACTGCCTTAGGTGAAAACTCTAAGGTACCTATATCTATAATAAACTGCCTTAGGTGAAAACTCTAAGGTACATATACCTGTAATAAACTGATTTAGGTGACAACTCCAAGGTACATATATCCGTAATAAACTGCCTTAGGTGAAAACTCTAAGGTACCTATATCTATAATAAACTGCCTTAGGTGAAAACTCTAAGGTACATATACCTGTAATAAACTGATTTAGGTGACAACTCCAAGGTACATATATCCGTAATAAACTGCCTTAGGTGACAACTCTAAGGTACATGTATCTATAATAAACTGCCTTAGGTGAAAACTCTAAGGTAGATGTATCTGTAATAAACTGATTTAGGTGACAATTCAAAGGAACATGTAGCTGTAATAAACTGATTTAATGACAAATCTAAAGTACGTGTATCTGTAATAAACTGATTTAGGTTACAACTCTAAGGTACATATATCTGTAATAAACTGATTTAGGTGACAACTCTAAGGTACATATATCTGTAATAAACTGATTTAGATGCAACTCTAAGGTACAGGAAACTATAGCAAAATTCATATTTGTGTCCCCTAGTCTTATCATTCTGAGCATTAAGTATATATTAAAAAAAAAAGATGATGCATCAACACTATCTATTCCCTTAGCAATCTTAAACACCTCCATAGCACTCAAGACTGAACACAATTCTCTAAATTTGGCTTAACCAGTGACTTATATGATAAAATTATAAACTCTAAACTTATATTCAAATTTCTGTAGATACAACCTAAAACCAGTTTAGGATGAAGAATATATTAATGTGATCATCTTGTTTCCATCTAGGATGAAGAATATATTAATATGATCATCTGGTTTCCCTCTGGCAACTGTTTAGTATGAAGAATATATTAATATGATCATCTGGTTTCCCTCTGGCAACTGTTTAGTATGAAGAATATATTAATATGATCATCTGGTTTCCCTCTGGCAACTGTTTAGTATGAAGAATATATTAATATGATCATCTCGTTCCCTCTGGTGACCTTTTGGGATGAAGAATATATTAATGTGATCATCTTGTTTCTGTCTGTTTAGGATGAAGTATATTCCTGAAATCTTCATTTGTAGGAATTGAAATAAAAGTAGATATTTTACATAATCTCAGAATTGTCAGATATGAGCCTCCCTGTATCATCCCATAGAGGTCCTACTCCCATCATATTTTGTTTACCCTTAATGTATCTCAATTTTCAACCCTTTTTGTGTTTTGATTTTCCAATTTCCCATACAATTAGGTGACAAATCCAAGGTACTTGTATCTATAATAAACTGATTTAGGTGACAACTCTAAGGTACACATATCTGTAATAAACTGATTTAGGTGACAACTCTAAGGTACATATACCTGTAATAAACTGATTTAGGTGACAACTCCAAGGTACATATATCCGTAATAAACTGCCTTAGGTGAAAACTCTAAGGTACCTATATCTATAATAAACTGCCTTAGGTGAAAACTCTAAGGTACATATACCTGTAATAAACTGATTTAGGTGACAACTCCAAGGTACATATATCTGTAATAAACTGCCTTAGGTGAAAACTCTAAGGTACATATATCTGTAATCAACTGATTTAGATGGCAACTCTAAGGTACAGGAAACTATAGTAAAATTCATATTTGTGTCCCCTAGTCTTATCATTCTGAGCATTAAGTATAAAAAAAAAAAAGATGATGCATCAACACTATCTATTCCCTTAGCAATCTTAAACACCTCCATAGCACTCAAGACTGAATACAATTCTCCAAATTTGGCTTAACGAGTGACTTATATAATAAAATTATAAACTCTAAACTGATATTCAAAATTCTGTAGATACAACCTAAAACTAGTTTAGGATGAAGAATATATTAATGTGATCATCTTGTTTCCATCTAGGATGAAGAATATATTAATATGATCATCTGGTTTCACTCTGGCAACTGTTTAGGATGAAGAATATATTAATATGATCATCTGGTTTCCATCTGGCAACTGTTTAGGATGAAGAATATATTAATATGATCATTTTGTTTCCTCTGGCAACCTTTTGGGATGAAGAATATATTAATGTGATCATCTTGTTTCTGTCTGTTTAGGATGAAGTATATTCCTGAAATCTTTATTTGTAGGAATTGAAATAAAAGTAGATATTTTACATCATCTCAGAATTGTCAGATATGAGCCTCCCTGTATCATCCCATAGAGGTCCTACTCCCATCATATTTTGTTTACCCTTAATGTATCTCAATTTTCAACCCTTTTTGTGTTTTGATTTTCCAATTTCCCATATGATCATCCCTCTTGATCTTCTATAATCCCCCAAATCTCCAATCACTGCAGTCAATTTAAACTTAATGCATTTCTTTAACCTTATCTTTTATACCCTTTGTGAGCCAACCTGGCTTTTTCCTTGCAACCCCTCTTTTTTATACATAATGAACATGTTTGTCTTTAATATTCAATTATTCATTTAAAATCTTTTTCCACATTTGATCAGTAATTAATATGTTTGCCCAATTCACAATGTATAATTTTTGTTTCATCTTTTCAAATTTGGACCCAAAATCTTATTATTACTTATTTCCATATACAGCAAAACATCAAATATAATTGAGAAATGACCACTTGCACTCAGATGTTCCTCAATCTTTACCCCATTTCTTTATTGGAAGTTAATGATAAGTCTAAATTAACATTGTTCCTTATCAAAATGTTGAAGAATACCAACCTGAAACCTGTCTCCCTCATTTCCCAGTCTATATGCCTGAAATTAAAATCCCGATAATTATAACCTTATTAACAAATGAATTATTTATCTCACTGTATACTTTCTCCTTAATTTAATCACTTTCATTTGGCAATCTGTAACAAATTCCAAATGAAAGCCTTCTCCGTTTATAACCACTAACAGAAACCCAAACAGATTCAACCTCATTGTGACTTGCTTTAGTTTCCTTAACTTGAACAGGATGCAACCCATATTTTAACCCTAAAGACACTCCTTCCCCTCTTCTTAGTACTCTGTCCCTATTAAATAACCTATAATCCCATATTTCAAAGAAATTCTTGTCATCAAAATTGTCTACATTGAACCAGGTTTCACATCAAAATCCTGTTTTTCGGACCATTGCTCTTAGGTCATCTATTTTATTTCTTATACTACAGTAATTAACAGTTTAGTCTAATATTAAAATTACTTTACCTTGTTCCCACACAATACATCTTATTTTTTTTCTTCATTTAGTTTATTCTGGCCCTCACCACCATTTAGCCCTAGATTAAAGTTACCCTTACATTTGAGTCTGTAGTCTTCTACTTAATAATAATTACTTTTTTTTTAATTTTACCAAAACTTGTTACTGTACTCATATCTGTACTTCAGTTATTTTGGTTTTTCCGTACATTTGTAACTACTACCACAAAACCTGTACTTAATGGTTACATTGTATTTTTTTTTTACTGAAATTTGTGCTTCAATTCAAAGTGGTGGTAGACAAATCACACTCCTGTTGTCAAGTGTTGCACTTTTAACATGTATTGGTCATTTCTAAAAGTTAACATTTCCTTAACAATATAGCAGCGGTACCATATGAGATTTAATTAGGGGGAGGGGAGTGACAAGTTCTTACAGAAGATCAGTGAAAACTCTTGAATTTTCCTAAAGTGAAAATGCAACATGTGGCCTGATGTTAGATTGTACTGTATCTTTTTAGAACACAAAGTGTATGCATAAAACTGGTTCTTTACCATCAGGTTTTTCTATTCTTTGGATGGTAATAGCCCTTCATGTCCCCCTAACACAACTAGTATTCCTGCAGTGTGGTATAGCATCCTCCCTCACCTGTTACAGAGAGGTTGCGTCTAACCTCTCATAACCAAGATCATTAATTTGATGTCTTGAAAAACTATCTTTATCAAGATTGACTTTGTTGAGCGTTGGAGATATCCGATACCTTACCATTGAAGTTATTTTTTGGTAAATGCTCAAGCTTTATTAAAATCATTTATTCAAGATTTTGATTTCTACATGTACCATCCTCGATACACAGCACAGGACCTAGTATTAATTATGTAACAATAAACAAAATTTATTGTCTTTCTACTTCAATATTCTTACAGTAGTTACACATATAGTAATTAGCAAGCATTAAACCTGTAGGAAGAATGACATATGTAGTGAAAACATGAAAAAAACAAAAAACACCAACATATAAAGCACAGATTTCATGAATGTCACAACCAGTTTACACGTTCCAGATTTGTTTTTTGTATATACAACATTTAATAAGAAATGTATCCAACCAGAAACATGGTATAATTTACAACATTCTAAATGTACGTTTTTCCAATCATATCGTCATGCAGGATTCACAATATGAACGATAGCGGGTTAAATACGCTTAATCCCCTCACACTCTTTTTCCCAAGATTTGAGACATATTTTCTTATGCTTTGAATTTGTTTGTTCTTTTCTATGCTTCTAGAGTTCAATGTTTCGATACCAAGTTCAGTACCATTTAATATTTTATGACCAGAATTAGTGCAAGTAATATGAAATCACAACTTGATGTTCACTAGTCTTCAGCATAAACCTGAAATCAAAATAACTTAACTTTAACCATACACTGTAGTTAACATATTTTAAGTAGATTATTTTCCAATTGATGGGAATTTTTTTAGAAACTTTAGATATTAATATTTCCCACTTTACTGTATCAAAGTTGAATTGCCCAGTATATATTCATCAAATAATGAATTTAACCGAATTCCTAATACTATATTACAGAGTTTAAAATAATCAATAAGAAATTTCACTTGACTGGTGCATTGCAGTAATAAATTTGTGCAGTAACTCTTTCAATGACAAACTGCCTCATAATTTGATAAATACAAACAGTTTTACCTTAGTACCAATAAATATTATATTAATCCCATTTGGATTAAACTCACATTATAATTTTCTCCTTAACACATATCCATTGACTGAAAGTTAAATTTAGTAACAGAATTTTTAGATAGAAAACAACATTTTTGGCTTTGTTTTCATTGAATTCTCAAAAGATAACCAAAACCATTACACAACTAAAAAGATGTATAATTTATTAAATTATTTCATTTCCATATGTGTTTAATTTTAAATCTTAACGTTAAAAGATGCTTAAATTATAAATTTATTTCAGAAAAATAAAGGTAGCATAATTTGATAAACCAGTGGGCATTGTTGATGTACCACAACACGAGTGTTACCATATTTGTTAAAATATAAAAACTTTTAACTGATACGAATTTTTTTCACTACTTCCTCTCTTTGATCTTCATCCAAAGAATGTTTGCGCTTCTTTTCAACATCCACTTCTTCCTCTTCAATAATAACTAGGTCATCATCTTCAGTGACTTCTTCTAGGACCTGCTGAACTTTTTCCTTATATTTAGGTAGTTCTGTGCTGTTTTCTTCAGGAAGTGGTTCTCCAGCATTTCCAATAACAACAAACTCTACTCCATCCTCTAGGTGTTCTTTATGTATAATGTTCAAAACTACTTCAAAGTTTTGGAGGAAATCATCACATTTCAACCTAGATCCATTTTTAATTCCAAATTCTTCAAGCACTTTATACTTATTTTCTTCTGTTTCCCCCTCTTCACTAGAAATTAGGATTGTTCCTTTTCCATCATCAATCTCCACGTCCGGCGCAACCATGTGCAACTGTTCTTTGAGGATTTGTTCTTCCAAAGTCTTTACTGTTAGGGTCTTACAGCTTAGTTGAACCGACACTTCTGGCTTGGAAGAGCACACATAACATTTTGGGTTTGGTTTGTCTAATAAGCAAGGAACTAGTAATTTCTTTTTGGGGTTGGGTTGTTTATTGAGATATACTGTGCGGCAATCACTACTGTGGCCCATTAAAATCTTCCATGCCTGAAGTACTAGAAGCCCTGCAATCACTGCATTTGTTGTGGCTATTGCAGGGATGATATTTCCCGCCATTGACTTTATATCAAACTGGCTCTTCTGGGATATACCAAAACAAAAAGCCCTAATGTTAGCACAAGCTGTTACAAAGTTTATGCAGTCTTCCTCATCCTTATCCCACACCAAGTGGTCTCCAGATAATGTTTCTAACTTTTTCTTCAGGCTATGTATTGTATTTTCAAATACCACTGAACACTTTTTCAGACTCCAAATTTCCTGTTCTCTAATGGCTGCTGATCGGCTATTACTGCTACAGGCCACAGAGTCGGGAAGCTCTCCCCAGTCAAGGGGCTGTGGCGGTTTACGTTTCTGCCATAACTTATCCATAGATAAGAGATACTTAATATCATCACGGAAAAGCTTGTTAAAAATCTTGACAGGATTGTATCCTGAAGACTCGGCCCATCCCCTTGTTGACACCCGTTGAATGTTGCCATCTATACCTGCATCAAAGTTTAAAGCCACTTGTCCTGCTTCCCCTCCAAGTTCGGGGTCTGCCATATCCGGTGATACATCTTCATCTGGATCAGCTTCTCCGAACAGTTGATTGAAGAGGTGCTTAGCCCAAACAATACAATGAATAGGTTCTGATGGAGTATTCCTTATTGTACAACCAGGAAAAGATTTTTGTCGTGGTTTAGGCTGGCACTCATAGCACTCTGTCTGACCTTTAATAATCACTGTTACTTGCCCCAGGTAACCGGCTGTTCCACTTTCTACCAAAGGAACATCTGCAGCAAGGCACATTCTGTTAACATGGCTTCTGGCAGCTCTATTGTCAAGAGCATTCATAACTATTGAAAATTCTTTGAAAAAATCTAGACTGTAATCAGGTTTCATTATGTTATCATGATGAGCTGTGATTTTGGCCTTAGGGTTGAATTTCTGGGCGCTATCCTTCGAAACTTCAGCTTTAGATTTTCCCACGTGTTGTTTCTGGAACAAGAACTGTCTATTAAGATTACTAACGTCAATAGTATCTAAATCAATAACGTCTATGTTTTCAAAACCACTAAGTAGTAAGTTCTTCAGAAGTTCACATCCAATACCTCCAGCACCAACTACGAGTACTTTAGCGGATTTAATTAAATTTCGCGTATTTTCGTCAAAAATTCCTTTAACAATCGCCATTTTCAAGATATCACACAAATTGATACCACTGTCGCCGGTTCTACTGCTAACAAAGACGTGATTGCACTCAGTGACGCTAAAGGAGGGCGGTCACATGACTATTGTGCGCCATTTTTTAAAATAAAGAGGTTTTCTGTTAACGAGTTGATCAGACGTTCATTTTATATATGTAATAAATGGTTTTTTGACATCATATAGGTGTAAAAAAATAAAATTTTAGGCCCTGAAAAGTCTAAGAAAAATCAATCTTTAGTTGTATGCGTAGTGTAAATACGAACCTGATGCAACGAATTTTAACAGCAGCATTTGACAGTTATAAACAATAATTAAGGAGAGGTTGAATCGAATTTAACCCTCCCAGGTCGTTCAACGAACTAAAACCCGATGCTGAACAAGCCATAATAATAAACAAATTTGAAAACCACTACTTCCTACACCAGTCATACAACTACAACAACATATGCAAATGTTGTTAAAAAACAAACATAGACTAAACTCCACACAGCAAAATAAAACAGTTAAGCGAAATAAGTAACAGACAAATCAACACCAAGAAAAAGTAACTGAAACTCAAAATACCAATAACAACACAACAGGAAATAGTCAAATAATGGAGGCTATTAAAAATATATTTAAAGACTTCATCACACAATATTAAAAACCGGAAAACAAACAAGATTGCATCACACTAATTATTAACATAGCAAAAACATACACAATACCAATAATACCCTACATTGTGCAAAAATTCATTGGCGCATTTCTAAAATAACCATTCGCAATCCGACACATTAACATCCAGTGTGGTCTTGCTATCAAGAGACAAGAGATCGAAAATTTAATAATACAAATAAATCCCGATATCATAGTTATAACAGAAACTTTGCAATATAAAAATAATTCATTTAAATTTCCAGGTTGTAATACCATAAGCTCACATAGTCTAAACAAAAACGACCCCAAAAGGGGTATAGCATTATTATACAAATCTACTCTATCTGCCACACAGATAGAGATAGAAACTACTGTTGCGTATCTGCTTGTTTGTTAATTTCCGTTATAAATCCTTTCCGAGGAACTTCAGCAATACAAGTACCTTCTTGATTAAAACTAGTTTATTCTTTCTCGATACAAACTTTTTGCAATAAACAGAATTTCCACAGTCACTTTAAACTTAACAACCTTTATAACACACGCTATAAATCAAAGTGATTCACACACTTTACTTCCGGTGCCTACTGTTCGCTTGACTTAATTATCTATCTCATCACTCTATCTATCTCTGCCATTGCGCTGGTTTTTCTCGCCAGGCTTATATACTAAAAAAAGAGGCGTATAGCAAATACTCGGACATTCGCGGGGTTCCCCGATAATTCTCGAAACTCCAGCGCGCATGCTCCCAGCGTCACGCGACTTCCGCTGTCGTAACACTGCCCCTTCTTTAGTATTGTTCGTCCCGAACAATAGCCACTTAAATTAAATCAATAGATCATTAACAATAACTTAATTAAATGTATAGAATTTACAAACACAAAATTAAAATACAACAAAGTCTCTTAAGTTTACAGGACGAATCTTCTTTCGTATTGGTCTCAGTCTCATTGGCTTCTGCTTCACGTGGGGTTCGTCTGCTCCATCAGAATATGTCTCATTATCGGTAGCAGTCAAATCAATGGTAGTAACTTCACTGTTTACCTTCTCAAAACCGAGTAGAGTTTCTTCTTCGACAGTGGCTTTTTCAGGTGACAAGTCTTCAGCAGCAGCATTTGTTCCGTTGTTCCTTTTGTTCCAACTGAAATGTCCTGGACCGTGATAATGCCAAAGCCTGTTGGCATGGGCCACCTTTGGCTTACCTCGCCGACCACATTTTTTCGGAAAGTCACGTCTGAGAGACGAACCACTATATCATATGGGCCTTCCCATGGAGAAGACAACTTAGGAGACTTCCCTTTGGTCTTCTTGGGATTATACAACCACACCTTGACTCCTGGTACAAAGCTGACTTCAGTTGATTTCTTATCATAACATAGCTTCATGGAATCAGCAGACGTTTTCAAGCTCGAACGCACTTGATGGTGGATATCATCCATCCTTTCCGATAACACTTTCACAAACTCTGACACATTCTCAGGCAGCTCTTCATAAGGTGGGCGTCCTGTTAACAGATCCACTGGCAACCGAAGTTCCCGACCAAACATCAGCTTTGCTGGAGTGTATCCAATGACTTCATGCTCTGTTGTTCAATAGGCCATCAACAGTGGAAGGAGTAAAACATCCCAGTCATCTTGGCGACTATTACAAAACTCTGCCAATTCCTGTCCCGGTGTCCAATTGTACTTTTCTACCATCCCATCAGACTGTAGGTGAAGTGGCGTTGTCCTGGTCTTTCGTATGCCAAACAACTTGCAGCATTCTTGGAACACAGCTGATTCAAAGTTATGGTCTTGATCCGAATGCAGTTCATATGGCATGCCAAACCTGAAGAAGAAATCACTAATAGCCGAAGCTACAGTTGTAGCTTCCTGATTTGGTATTGCATATGTCTCAGGCCACTTGGTGAAATAATCCATCACCACACAAATGTACTTGTTTCCTGCAAGAGTTTGGGACAGAGGACCAGCAATGTCAATGGCTACTCTTTCCATTGGTGCACCAACTTGATATAACTTCATTGGAGCACGTCCCTTGTGCTTGGGTCCCCTTTTAGCACAACATGTACAGCATATTCTGCACCATTCTTCCACATCTTGCCTCATACATATCCAGTAAAATCTCTGGCGTAGGTGACTCAATGTTTTCTTAACTCCGAGATGTCCTCCTGTTAAACTATCATGGGATTGACGCAGCACAACTTCCCGTAACTTCCTCGGCATAACTGTTTGCCAGGTCGTCACTTTCCCATCTCCGGAGAAAAATACCATCTTCAAGCTTCAACTGGTCCCAATAGTCCTTTGTCCCAGGGCTTAAGCTAGACACCTTCTCC